CACTCTTTTCAGATTGAGGGTTGGTGCTGCATTGTTAAGGAAATCCCTACAATATGTAGCATTTGCACCAATGTACCACTATTACTGACCCAGCAGTACTTATAATGTCATGAGACACAAAGTAGGAAAATGCACACATGGAGCCACGGAGCTCTCGTCAGAGCCAGGGTTGCGTTGTAAACATAATTTTCAAAAGCGATTTGAAGGCTGCCTCATACCAACCACGAGCTGTTGGCAGTCTCTTTGAATTGTTGAAATAACGCTATGACTACCCTGCTGCCTGTTGCCACCTTAACTGTGAAAGTCTCTCAAAGACAAATTGTGAAGGAGTATGATTAATTATTGACAGTGTTGTATTTTGTGTCCCACAAGAACAGCCTGTGGCATTATATCATCTACTTTCAGATAAAATATGACTTTGGCATATGATGATAAGATAGCTCTGCTATGGACTGACCCAATAATCGTCTCCTAGAGTGAAGGTCCCACTTGATTTATAAAGGATGAACCCACGGTTTGAAAGTGTTGAAACAGTTTGGAGACATTTAACCAATATCATTGAACCAGGAGCAGTGCAGCAGAACAGTTTGTCACAACCCTCCTCCTCTTAATAGCAGAAGCATTGAGAGTTGATTCCTAAGACACATGACATATAAATCATTGACATACAAATGTTGCGCTATATATCAATTGCTGTGAGTTAGATCGCTGTGTTCCCCACAGGTGGGCTTTAAAGGGGAAACACCAGGGCTCCACAATACGATTAACTGAAGGGTTTCTGATTTAACTTAAGATATTAATTTCATACGGTACTTTAGAGTCTTTTGTTGTCTCATTGATTCTGCTATTTTACAATCTTCCAGGTCAGCTGAGATGACTAACGATATTCTAAGGTAATTATGGTTTTAACCTTGGAAGTGCAAGGAAAGCTCCAAGGATTTAAATCAGATTTTTTGAGTGCTGCTTTCAAGAATTTTCAGGTTAGGGAACGAGTAAAACAAAACATTGGTACAGGATTCTGTAATATTTAATTTACTGAAACAAACCGTAAATTAATGCTATTGCAGCCTAGCCTGCTTCAGAAAATAACCCACTGAATTTCCTTTTCTACATTCTTTAACATAAAAGATTTTGACTCTTTGGGACATTCTGTGCCAACATATTAGATGGATGGTGTAACGGGTGTTGCTAAACAATTTTTTTTAAGTCATTCTATTGTCAAGTCATGAAATTAATCTTGTTTGATTTCTGCTTTGAAGCAGAAACGTTTCTGCTGTTCTACAAGTGTTAAAAGTGAGGACAGAACAGATACTGTTAAATGAAGAGTAAATCATTGAAATAGTAGCCTTGTGGTGGTTAAGGCACGGACTTCTCATTCCCCTGATAACTTGCTCGACTCCCACTGGTGCATGACACTCAGATCTACTTGTTCTAACATTTATTGGTTCTGTTTGCCTGGATCACCAGTGGAGATTGTTTGGGCTTGGGGTAAAGGTGGTTTCTGCCAGCTGAGCACAGCTCTGCTGGTGTCAGGCGTTCCAGAGAAATCTGAAATCCACTTTTCTTTCCCATCTGAAAATATTTGCGAAGGAAACACAGTGGAACAAAATCATAGAACGTACAGTTAAAAACAATGCAGCTGACCAGTAGAAACATTATTTGGCTTGCAAAACTATTTGGGCAATATGTATGTTTTATGTACGTGTAGTGGTTAACCCGCTCGACTCCTGGGCAGGGCAAAATCTTAGGCAAGCTTCCTTACTCCACATACCTCTGTTTACCGCGTAGTAAGTAGGAACCTGCTTGTTAGTCAAGTGTCACAAGGGGTCACGACACCATAGAAACTGGGTGCTAATTCTGCTGAGTGTAAAAACATGTAACTACTGAATGTTCTACCGAAGATTAAAAATGCTTCTGTGTTGATATCCACTCACATGAAATAGTTTTGAGCTTGTAATGTTTTTTTTTTAAAAAATGTACACGAGCAGAGCCTGCGCCTCAGAAACCTTGCTAAGTTCGGCCAAGTATTTCCGACTTTGGTGATTTCCAGTCCCTGCTGCCAAAACTCTCATGTCGGACACAAGTGAGCTAAATGGATGTAAAAGAAAGTCAATGAATTTATCCCAAGCTGTGTTTACAATAATAATGGTGGAAAGGCCTGAATGGCATTGCTGTTGTCATTTGAGAAGGAGAGTGATTTCTGGCTTCTTTCTTAGAACAATCCTGACATCCTCACAGCTATTTATTAATAGAATAAATTGAACTGCACTCAACTTCCATTGAAGCTTCGCTGATAAACTACAAGCAGAGACTTGAAGAAAGTACAGTACAGCATGTACTATCTGACACATTATTTGGGGCATTTAGTCTCTCTGAATACTTGATCTGTGGTACAGTGTGTGCATTTTTTTAAAAAGAGGTCTTCACTGGCATACTGAAACCTGCACAACTCCGCTCACCCTAATTGCAATGGGAAACTGAGCCAGGGGCACACAAAGTGTATTTGTTGTGCAGCCCTTGGTTAGTCAGCATAGAGAATTTCACATGGTTATAAATGAGCCGCTAGGATTGTTTTCTCTTTAAACAGTACCGGCCTTTGCCAGTGTCGCAATTGAGGGAGTGCTGTGGAGTAGAGCTTTTAAACATTATAGCTATGAACGTTTGGCAGTGAACTGTTGAAAGCTAAACTCTGAGCTTGTGCCACAAAAACTCTGGCAGCAAAACACTTATAAATATCATCGGTCTGCTTCTCTTTGGCCAATGGAGCCTTTAAGCTGCAATAGACTGGGGGCGGGGTGGGTGTCAGCATGATATTATCAATTGACTACTGGCATGGTCGGGAAGCACTTTAGGCAGTGGGTGTTGTTTACAAGGAACATAAACCAACCAGTTTTTAGGACTCTCTCATCTGGGTTCCTCAAGTCCTGATCTTCAACCAAATTGGTTCATTTTTTAAAAAAAATGAAAGCTTAACATTTGAATTCTGTACACGTAGAACTTAATGACATGCTTTTTCTTCCAGTAATAAAATGGAGGGGAAAAATTGCCCACAATAGCTTTGCATTTATCTCTTCACAATTGCATTTTTTTTAATGCGCGCAAAGAACGTAAATGTTTAAGAAGATTGAGCCAAAGCTAAACTCAGCAGCAAGCGCTCAAGTTTCACTCAATCCAGTCAACCCCCTAAAATTTGGATGAGCTCTTACTTTGGGTGAGGTTCAATGCTCATCACTGCCAGTTTAACAACGCTTATTTAATGGCCCTTGTCCTTGAGCGTACACTTCTCCTGTCTCTAACTATTTAGATTACAGCATCCACAGCACTCCATTGTTCATTATCTCATACACGGGATAGTATTTTACATCCAAGTACTTTAGATAATGCATTTCATCAAGGGCACTTTTTCTTAACCCGTGCATTGCAATAAGCTAACGCCCACGAGACACCAAAGTAAGAATGTGATGAATACATCCATTGAAAATGGCAGGAAGAAGGTTGTGAATAAAAGATTTTGTTGATGCATTAAGTATTGAAATGTGAAAAGTCCTATTTTTTTTTACAAAATATACTCCTTTAAAGCGATCTCTTTATTTAGTAGCTGCGAGCAATTTTAAAGCCTTTGTGTTGTTCAGTCAGCAATTATTTCAGGAGTCAGAGGAACAGCTTATCTGCTTTCAGTAGCAACTGCATTTTTTGTGAGAAACAAGCTGCCTTGGGCTATCTTCATGGCCTCGCTTTGCATGCCTGCCTGTTTCACGTCCGCTATTCCTGCTTGCAAGCAAGAAAGTAAACATTTGAACAGGATTAATATAAAAGGGTAAACAGGGAAAGAGCAGATGCTTGGGATTACAGTAGTTAGTGTCAGTGGATGAGCTAGCTCCAGTGGATGAGCGAATACCATTTTAGGCTTGATGGGCCAAATGGCCACCTCCTATGCTGCAAGTTATATCATTCTATTCACTGTGGCTGCAGATGTACTGCTGCCAAGATCAACTTCTTCATTAAAGCTTGCCAGGAAATCTTGGCCATTATGTATTACTGTGTCTGCAGTATTTTCACTAAATTCTTACTAATAATCACAGTGCAACTATTTCTTGCTGCATTGTGAGTTTTGATTGCAAATATTTTAAAAGCAGCTTTAAAGAACCCAATCAATAGTTGGGATATCAAAGTAAAATTCTTTACAGTTGTCCAAGATGTGTTTTCCCACAAATTGCAAAAATGTCAATGCAAATCTATGGACAAGATTTTAGTTTTCTTTCAATTCCAGCAAAACTCTTATTAAAAACTCTTTAATGCCAAGCTTTCAGTCTGTATAAAATAGTATATAAATCCGCATCATCCTAACTTTTGGTTATCTTAAAATCTTGCCACACGCATTATTTCCATCTATTACTTTGTAACTTTCTCTGATATAGTGTCTTATCACATTGTCAATGTCTTCAAATGCTTCTCTGAATTTTCCTGTGAAGTGCAGTTACTGTGTATTTATAGTAAAACACATTAATATAAACATACAATAAATATGTTATAACTCTGTTTATATAAAGTACAGGAGAAGCCTACTGAATAATTGCAATGAATGCTCTCCACACGTTCAATTCAGATCTCCGAATACCCACATTGTGTTGGGGCTGATGTATCCAATTACGTGCATTTGTCAATATACATGAAAAGTTGTTTTGTGTTGTATAATATATTCAAACAGTAGCAAACGCCCCTAAAATATTAATTTGTTGTGTGCATGTGTATCTAATCCATTTATAAGAAGTGTATGCATGAACAAAGACTTGTATAAATGAAATGCTGTTGAATTTGTTTAGGGAAAATAGGATTGAGTCTGGGGAGGAGAGGGAAAATCTAAAAGGGTATATGAATGTCACTTTCATACCTATATTTAGAGGAAGCCACATTTTGTATTTTTTAAGATGAACATACTCCTTCCAAAAAGAAGCCCATGCATCATACTTTGATATAAATAGATTAGTACAAGCCAAAATGTATGGGTGGTTTCTTCTCTTCGGGGATGACAAACCTCAGGGGAAGAGCTCATCCTATCAACCAAAGGAAAAACAAGGATTTAATTATGTTTGAGTAGATGCCTGAGGTAAAAGAAGTACATGGTTAGATGGGAGCATTTAACCAATAAACTCTGAACACGTGAAAAAATAGCCAGTTTACAACCACATGAAATGATAAAATAACTAAACTTAAGGTTAATTGGTTACCCTCCTATGTTTTTACAACTGTCGTGATCATAATTCTTAAAAAATAAATTGTCATTTCCTCATTTTAGACTTTATTATGTTACTCAAATAACATAACTTACATAAGCAGCATTAAATGACTTAAATGTTACTGTTTAACTCAGACTTAGACACAAGATCATATAATGATATGAATACATGATGAGCATTGCAAAGTAAAGAACAAGTTTTTATTACACAGTCCTTGAATGAAGACTTAAAATAACATTCCAAAACACATGATACAAAAAAAAACAAGCTATAAAATGTTTATTTACTGACAGCCTTTGAGTTGAAATTTCCTTTCTTATGATGTGTTTTTGCAATGACGTAAATTATAATCCTTGAAACTCAAATCTTAGATCTTAATTAAATAATAGTTCTTTAATATAATCCTTGCATTTGATATAGCACCTTAACACGTCTATGAGACGTATCAAAGCGCTTCATAGAATATACTGAAAAGTGAATTGACTGTACATTTTGTGGGCGAAACGCGGCAGCCAATTACACACAGCAGTGTCCTACAAACAGTGGTGGATTAAGTGACCAAATGATTTATTATTTAAGTCAATATTCAGAGAATAACTCAGCTATTTCTAGTCTTTAGCAATATGCATTTAAAGATTATTGATGCCAATTTTATTAGTTTCATGAGGATTGATAAATGACTAACCCCTCCCCCCCACCAGCCATTTCATATAATGTATATATATATATATATTGCTTCATGTGGTAAGGTGTTTGGAAAGAAAACCCAACAATTAGACAGGTGTAGTTTCCAGCAAATTATCCATCAGCCCTAAGCTTCAATTTATCCTTCAAAGAAATTCCTGCTGAGAGGGTTAGCAAATCTGATCTCCATCTTTAACCTTTTTTACAGTTCGTTCAGCCTTTAGAAACCACTATTCCAGAGGTGATCGTGTTAAACACTCCCTCTGTATCTGCTGGCTTGTTATGATAACCTGGGGTTACAGCACAGTGTCGACAAATATGTTTGTTTTGTGGAAAGATCCTGACAGCTGTTTAGTGGGTTTATTCATCACCTCACATTATGCTCCTGTTGTCATTTTACCTATTTGCCCTTCCTTTTACTTACAGTAGCCTGGAGTTTATCTACAAAAGCACAGAGTGAACAACTAATCACAAAGTGCTTAAGCCCTATACGTTCACCAGAATGGCCTTACACTAGCTGAAAACACTCTTGGTTCATTGTTGATAAGATGGTGAGTCCTTAAAGTGAGGATCCCTACACAATGATTCATGTTGCACTTTACTACAACTTGTATAAATTCCGTTTCTCGAACAACCGAAAAGAGTTGCATTGCACTCCATTTGTTTTTTTTCCAGTAAAAAGCACTCCACAACTTGAATGTTGACCTCAATGTTAGAATTACACTTTTTTGTCCTTAGCTTAAAATAATAACCCTTGCATTTGATATAGCACCTTATCATGTCATCGAGACATCTCAGAAAATTTATTGTGACGTGTAGTGACTGCATATACGTAGGCAAAAGTGGCAGCACAGCATTGTCACACAAACAGTCATGAAGTGATTATCTGACCAATTTTATCTGAGCAATTCTGAAATTATAACATCACACCATAAGGCTTAGAATATTAGCTTCGAAGGGAACTTACAATTATTTGGTCCAAATATTTGGAGGAAAAATGTATGGTAAGAGTAAATTACTGGATCAGAAAATCTTGAGTGCTCCCTGTACCTCCAGGGTCTAGCTGTAGTGTCATTTACCCAGTACATGAAAGTCAAATCATTTTATTGCCTTTTAAGCCATGTGTTCTGTGATTTATGTTGGGTTTCTTGGGTTTATCTGGTCTCATTGTTTGTCACTACCAATCCCTTGCTGATTACCCTTGACTTTCTGTTTCTACAAATGGCCTCGCTCATGTCCCTCACTTTCTTGCTAATGGTCCCACACTAATCTTACTCCTCCCATGAGATCACACTAATGGCCTCACTCTTATCCTGTTCCTCGCTGAACGGTTCCCCTTCCTCCCATCCCAGGTTTTTTTTCATCATTGCCCCCATGCTGCTCTCTTGTTCTTCTGTTTCGAGCCACCAGTTAGTCCCAAGCTGATCATTTGTTAGAAAACATTGAATACAAAGTAATTTAGCCTATCGAACCAATTCCTTCCACAGATCACATGTAATCTGTTGTATCTAGCAATCTATCCATATATTTAATCAAGTCCCTAAGGTAAATGATCATAATTCTAGCCTATTTATCCACCCATACCCTATTCCCATGACTGACTTGTCCTTGCCATCTGAGAATCCTGATCCCAGGAACAATAATGTCTACTTTAAGAATTTGATCGTATCCTATAGCCTTCAGTCTATTCCTAACTTATTCAAAAATTAATTGACCTCACATCAACTGGTTTCGCTGGGAGTATCTTTCATGTAATTACTTCTCTGTAGAGAGACAAACTGCTCTGTGAAGGGGAAAAGAATCTTCTAATCTCTAGTCTCCCTGAAGACTAATTAAAGCTTATTATTTGGTACCAGTTCTAGGTCAGGTAAACAGCCTGTTTACATCTGCATCATCCAGGCCATTCCCCATTGTCAAGCTCTGGATCATGTTCTTCGAAACTTCTTTTATTAATGGGAACAAGTTAAGTGAGGAAAATTAGGTTAAAGGATCTGCAGACTCTAATACACTAGGGGAATAGGCTTGATAGGCTGAATGACCTCCAGTTTCTACGAGCTACACAAGCCTCATCCTTGTTGCTATTCTTTGAATCATCTCCAAGGCACCAATATTCTTTGTATGGTAAGGTGCCCAAGATTACATGCACTATTCCAACTGTGGCCTCGCTGGTTTCTTTCCTGCCACAGTTTCTTGCTAGCCATGAGTCCATGACTGGTATAAAATCTCAGCACATCTCGGGAACTCGAAGTGAGAAACCAAGTAACGAGAAGGATGCAGAAAGTAGTTTCAGTGAGAGATTGCTGGACATTGTGAAGTGAGAAACTGAAGGATGAGTGCTACCAGAGAATTTCCATTAGCAAGAAACCACTGAACAAGAGAAGTAGCTGGCAGCAAAGAACCAGACTGAGAGTAATCAATGAATTACTATTAGCAAGGAACTATGGCAGGATCATGAACAGTAGGAGACTAGTTGTGGGCACCACAGGAGGTGTGTGTGTGTGTGTGCAGAGGGAGCAGGTTGATCTGTATGTGACTGGCTGCTGGAGTTGCACTCAAAGTCTGTTATGTTGTTACTAATATTCCCTCTGTTGGTTGCAATTAAGTGTTTGTGTTCTGTAATATTTCCTTTGCTCAATAGTTAACAGTTCGTGATATTTTTTCTTTAGTATATTTTCAGGGGTAATCCATTTGTGCTTCTCTTTTGGAGCTAGTAATTTCACAGCAACCTGAACTTGATGATGGTGTGTGTATAAAGAGGAAATCCCAAGCCAACTTTCAAACTTTTATCGCTTGTTCCAGGATTTTAATGTCTTCTGTGCAGACGACTACCAGTCGGCTGCTGGCATCGGGATGTGCTTTCCGGCCATAAAACAGACACATTTATTACGGTTCTATTGCTAAATGTAGAATACTAGTCCATTTTTGCCTCTCCAACACTTTTCCAGATTTATATGCATTTAAGTGTTCACACTTGAGCACATTGTCTCCATTTGACCCTTTCGAACCACGAAGGGGTGCTTTATTGATAGGCCCTATTGCTGCAAAATGTTCAGGATCTCGTAAAATATTGTGCCAAGTTTCATGACTTTCTACTTTTAACAAACTGCGCAATTCAGCCACATTATATACTTTAACTCTTGTATTACACTGAGTTATCTAAGAAGAGTTTGTCATACTTAATGGTACTGTGTGTTGGTTTCATTGTGCAGCTTTACACCACAGTTCATCTAGGATAAATCTTGCAGCTTTAAAAACCATGCATTTTTATCTAGTTCCAGTACTTAAAGAGAGATAAATCCTTTTTCTTTCCTTTTTAAACACTTCTGCAGAAGATTTATACACACACATACACAGAATCATTTTTTTGGCCAGCCCTGAGCTGCAGGGCAGTATTTGGGATTGCAAAGCAGCTTCTCTCCCGCCAGTACAGAGAGGTGCAGTGGGAAGCCAGGTTTACACTGCATGCTTCACATCATTTTCAATGCAGGCTGAAAAAAATTCCTAGTCCCGATTTTCATTCATTCTGTACATATGCACCTTGTCAGCTCTATGAAATAGCATTAAAAACGCTCTGTTCAAAGCTTCTGGGCTAAGACCCAAGACCTTTGAAAGGAAAATCGATACCCATGCGATTTTCCACCTGCCACATTCATACCATTTGGGTCCAAATTTCATTAACCCTGAAACCACCTCTTCCAGATCATGTCAGCAGCCTGAATCCAGTGTGATTCATGTATGTTTTTTGGTGACTGACTCACAAAATTGCCAATCGATGCTGAGCTTGCAGCCTAACCGCAGTGACAAACTAGTAGGGTAAATGATGCGGTATTTCTCAACACTTAGGAATTCCTGGTGGGTACTCCTTCTGGTAACTGGAAGCAATTGACACTGTCTGAAGAGAACCATGGACTGAAAATAGATTGAGTTGGAAGTGTTCCTGCAATTTGGTTTTGTGGACTTCTAGATTTCTTAGTTGAGAAATTGTTGTTCAAAGGCTTTAATGCTAATCGCATGTGCTGTGGTTCACAGAACCATTGGAATCGGCATCATTGACCATTGTGCGATCGTAGAGTTCTTTGAGGGTTCTGCTACAGTTGGGTTGGATTAGAAATCATAGAAGGCTTATAACACAGAAGAAGTCTGTTCAACTCCCCATGTCTAGGCTGCTGCTAATTCATCCACTCTGCTCTAATCCCTATCCCTTATTATTTTCTAATGCTTTAATATTACTTTTATTTTACTCTGATAACATGGAGAAGGGATGAAAAATTATATTTAAATAAAATTCTGCAATGAAATTAGCCATAATTTAGGTCTTTGGAATCACGTTGTCCAAGCTAACGCTCCAATCCAGTGCTGATGGTGTACTGCATTGTTGGAGGTGCTGCTCTTCAGATACAATACAATACAAAATTACATTTGTATAGAGCCTTTCACATCTGGAGGACATCCCAATGCGGTGAAACATTCAATGAGACATTAAACTGAGGTGTCATCTGCCTTTTCAAATTGGCAACGATCCCATGACACTATTAGAGAAATAAATTTCTCCAAGTGTTCTGGCCAACAATCCTCCAGATAAAAACAGTCATTCACTTCATGGCTGTTTGTGGAACAATGCTGTGTACAAATCAGTTGCCACATTCACCTACAGAATACAGTCACTACACTTTACACTAAATCTTGTGAAGCACATTGAAACATCTTCCTGACAAAAAGCACTACATAAAACGCCAAGGATTATTATTTATTATAATAATTGGAGAATTGTGATGTGGAAAGGAGATGGTTACAGATCCCAAAGGTACAGTGAAGGAGAGCATGGCTCATGGGTTGAAGATGATAAAATGTTGCTGAAATTACAATTCCATGATTAAACATTAGTGTTCATCTGCTTTAAATACCCAGATCATTTCCTCTTATAGATTTACAAATTGTATCCAGTTTAAGAATGAGAAAGCAAATCTGCTGACGAAGCATGTGTTGGATGTTAAACTGGCCAAAGAAGAATTTAACTCTTTTTTAATTTCTGCTAAAAGTCATTTATTTCTAACGTATAAAAGCAGGATGAGTAATCCCCCTCCAAGCTCTCTCGCTCCCCCCCCCCCCCCCCAGCCCGACACACACATAAATCATAGTTAGGAGGCGATGAATATTTGATAAATAAGTAATTGAATGGCTCCATTGAATTATTATATGAACATTTTAGGAATATTGGAAAACAGGAACAGGGGGAGGCCATTCAGCCCATCGAGGCTGTTCCACCAGTTTATTAAATCTTGACCGATCTTTTAATCCCAATATCCCGACCTTTCCCGTATGTCTTAATACCTCTACAACCCAGGTGTCTGTGTATCGCTTTCAATCTTCCCCATTGACTCGCTTCTACGACTCTCGAGGGCAGGGCACTCTACGCCTTCACATCCCTGTGTGGCAGAAATCCGTCCTCACCTCAGTTCGGATTATCTTGGTTGAGTTTATGTCCCTTTGTAATGGAGCGTTCTACAAATCTGTTTCATGAGGTTTCTTTAAAGATTGTAACATTCTACTGAGGAAGATTTTGAACTTGTTCTTTTGAAAAGAATTCACTTCCTTCCAGTTTTTCAAAGAGCATAAAAAGAAATTGGAAGCAACTTTTTTTTAACAAAAAGGTTGTACCAATAACGGCTCTAGGATTGCACAGATTTAAAATAAAACCATCTGAAATTTTCTTTCCGATCTCAATGAAAAAAAACCTTCAGTTTAAAGAGCTACCAGAGTCGATGAATTCAAACAAAATGAGGGTAGGAGTCCCTCTATGTGCTTCCATTGCCAGCCGCACTCCCTGATTGATCTCTATCTCCTATATGCTCACTGATTCTGCTTTAATCTGTGCCACAGATTTAATGCTATAATGGCACTGTAATGCATTAAGCAATTCCCTCAATGAAAGTAAAGTCTATGACAACCTTTCAAAGTTTCTAATTGATTTGAATAGTCGGATCTCCTACATAGGCTTGAACTTATTTATGCAAGCCACCCTCACATGCGGAAAGCAAATATTGATAAGAAGGGGTAAAACTATGCTTTTCTTCCCAGGTAGATTGTGTACCTTTTGGTCTTTGGGTGGTCCTGGGATTCTTCATGAATATTGTACGTGCTGTTAACATTCAGCAGCAGCGTCCTACAAATGGCAATGAGATGAACAAGCACTTAATCCGTTTTTGCTGATTTTGGATCAGGGAGAAATATTGGCCAGGACACAGGGAGAATTCACTCTTCGATTTGTCTTATCTGAAGGATAATACCATCAAGAATGGATTTTGGAGTCTCAGTCTAGATTATCGGGGAGACATCCTTTGACTCCCACAAATTATCCTTCTCATCAGTTGAATGTGATCCCTTGTTACACATATTAGGCGGGGTGGTGTGTGTGGGTGGGGGGGGGGGGGAACAAGCATTTAAGCTAAAACAAAATAAATGTTGTTTTAACACAGAGCTGAGGTTTACTTTAGGCACAGTATCAAATCACTTAACTTATCTTGTTGTTACTCTAAGAACTATGTAAAGATATAAAATTATTTTCTCTCTGCTCCTAAGATGTTAACTTTCTCCTGGGGTGCTAGACACATAATAATAATAAAGACATCCGGAGTATGTCTTATTGTAAAGTGTAGTGACCGTCTATTTTGTAGTCAAATGTAGCAGCCAATTTGCACATAGCGATGTCTGACAAGTTTTATCTGGGGTTTTTGGCCAGGTCACTAGGAAAAACTCCCTTCCCTTTTTGAGAAGGATCTTAAACGTCCACCTGAAAAGGCAGACGGGACCTCAATTTAATATCTCATCTGAAGGATGGCACTTCCAACAATGCAGTACACCACCAAGGACTGTATTGGAGAGTTTGTCTGGACAATGAGATTTCAAAGTCGCAAATTATAGCTAATTTGATTGCTGAATTTTATTTAAATTAAATATCATTAATAGGCACAGCCGGGACCTTGGTTTCATAATAATCCTTGCATTGGATGTCACGCCTTATCGGGTCGTTGAGACGACTCAACGCACTTCACAGGATATCCTGTAAAGTGGATTGACCGTAGTTGTGGGCGAAATGCAGCAGCCAGTTAATGGCTCTCACGTACACACACTTTGCAGCAGAGAACACTCAATAGCAATCGGTTTGGGGAATTCTGCCAGCTTTTCTTTTGCCTCTCTTCTCTGATCCATGATGCTGGGGCCAAGTGTAGAGGCTCAACTACTGCTGTAACTGCAATCAGCTAACACATTACAGCCTGCGAATCGAATCCATAACCTTCCGGTCTTCTATGACTTAAGGATCCGAGTGACCTTTCTATGCTGTCTCGGGCTGATGCATTACAGGCAGCAATTTAAACATTGTTCATTTACGCAGATTTTTTTTGTCATTTAAAGCTTTCCTGCCACCCCCATCATTATAATTTCTCCAGACGTCTAAAGAAGTGAGTGTCTTTCCCTAGAAGTGGTGCACCTTCTACTGAGGGAAAGGAGCTCTGAATGTCAGTGTTGATGGGAATTCAGACATGCGAGTCTGTCTTGGGAATCCAAATGACCAACTATTAGAGTTACTGGGCCACCCATCATATGATTCTTGTTTGAAACAAATATCATAAGCACTAATATTGACTTACATCCGTCCTTTGATCTCCTATCAGTACTTAATCACACACGATCTACTGCTACCTCCAGCAATGCCAGTGTTTCACAGGTCTCTTGTTCTTCACTGAATTTGGGAGGAGGGATTAGTCTTTACCTTCAAAGGTCCCCTGTTAAGTAAACAAAAACACTCATTGAATGTGAGTTCCTCCATGTGAGAGATTGGTTTCAGGCTCTTCGTTGCTATGTCCCTCTAATCTGTATGAATTTCATAAGGAGAGGTCTAATGCTACCAACTGTTTTCTGCAGTGTCCTAACACATGAACAGATCTTCTGACTACAAGAACACATCTTGGGGTGTATAGGTATTTATATACAGTGCACCCCACTTAATTGCATATCGGGTATTTTTCTGAAATAACAATTGACTGTTGTGAAAGCCTCCGAAGAAGCCATTCCTTAAAGTGGAAGCAATTTTTTTTAAAAATATTGCATCAGGGATACCAACACCTGCACAGCATTTAAATCATGATATATAATATCCTACATATGATTTGGTTCTTTCTTAATTGTTACAAAATCTGCCCTTTTCACACATTGCGTCTTCACAGTTTATGCTTGCAATACTTTTAAAGGGTTTGTGAAAACTATTAAAAGCAACATTGGTAACAAAAAACACTGCCTAATGTTCTTCAGATCTGGAAGATCATGTGTACAATTTTCTGGGGTAGTGGAAAGTTGCTACAATTCATGTCAAAACCAAATCGAGCAATATTTCTCATTCAGGCAGTGTTATAATATATAGGTATTTATTACTGCTTGAAGCATTATTTAGTGAAACAGGCAAACATGGTATATTCAAAAATATTCACTTTACACAAATAAAATGGGAGCAGAAACTGATAACCCTGTTTGTGTGTGTGATAGTTTTCTTGTTGTCCAAGGGGACATATCTGAATATATACATGAATCTAAAATATAACCACATGACTATGTTTTCTTTTTTTAAAAAATTCACAAAAAAATCATGTTCAAAACTACACAAACCTTCTGTTTAACGCATGAGCACACGAGTCAGTATGGAGCAGTGCCTATCAATGTGCTGGGCTTGAACCCACGAGAGGAGGTGCTTGATAAAAGAATATTAAAAGCATACCTTGATCATTTAATTGAACAGCATCACGTTTGTAATTTACTATGTTTGTCATGAACTGCGCCCTTCAGAAGCTATTTAGCAATTTTTTGCCCAACCTCCGCAAATCAGATTTATAGCCTCCAACACCTCTACTGCAATCCACGCACTGTTTTCCAAACTTGATTTTAGTCATATCGAGAGCTTCCTTTCCTGCAGGTGCTGATTTGCTAAGTGATTTGATCCTAACGTGCTGGCACTTCACATGAATCTTTTGTACTGTCACTGATGATGACTCCCTTCGGGTGGTGGGGGGTGTGTGGGGGGGGATAAAAAACATCATATTTCAAAGACAGAGGACACTTGAAATAAGTCAAAATCTTTCTTCTCATTGCAGTGCAACGAACTCCAGCCCAGACTGACTGTGGCATCAGCTCTCAGAATGTTATCTTTGATGGACAGGATTAAGAAAAAAAATCCCTGTTCCTTGGTGAATTTCAAACACCAGAAGAACAATGATGCCAGCTTTGACTGCATTAATGAGATATTGCCGACTGGCAGGACAGAACCTGGCTTTACATAAACCTGATTAGCCTCTCACTCTCTCTCTCTCTCTCTCTCAGAACCCAGGAAAGGCATTGGCTTCCAAAGATCAACAACAAAGAGGGATACCCTGACTTTTATTAGTTTGATAGAGAGAGAAAAAAAAGAAGAGTCTGCTTTTCACTGGGTACTAATTAAAGGATTTAGAGTTCTTACACACCATTGGCTGCACATGTCCCTTGTTTCAAGTTCTTACCCTGGATTCATTTGGCACCTGGGAGTAAAAAAAAGTGTTCCCATAATGATGTTGACTTTGCAACAGCTGAAATTTTATTTCACTTCATTTTTTTTTATATAAAAAAGAGACAGCTGCGATCTATTTTAATGGACATGCAAATTTAAGTTTAAATTGGCTCTGGCATGGTTTCATTAGAAGCAATAATTTATCTCGCCCATATTGACTTTTCAGTAACTGAATTTATATTTCCCTTTTACTTTTTAAACAATCGTGCTTCACTTCAAAGGCTGCGCAAATGAGAAATGCATGGTAGAGGGAATACTCCTACTTCCCTTATTTAATTAAAATGTCATTGTGCTTTTAATTTTCACTTTAGGCATAGTTTGGATTACTTTGTTCCTCGCCAGATCCTTTCAGGGGGTGGGGGAGAGAAACCAGAGAATTAAAGAGCAACCGTCTTAAACCATGTGAAATTGGGACCAGGATTCTCCGAATGACAAATAACACCATCAGAGTGAATTTCTGCAGCTTTGAGAGGGCGTTTCAAAACATAAACACGATCTTATCTTTCCCGCAACTCACTGCATTATTTTCTCATGCTGAAGTATTGCAATGGATTTATTAAAAAGCAAGCATTTTCAATTGCTTTCTTTAACTTCATCATCCTGTTCTTAATAAAACCCTGTCTCTTTGCAATCACAATACAAATAAAAATCAGCTCCTTTTATACCAGGTGCAGAATGGGTTTATTAAAACTTAAAATCACAGTTAAGGACATATTGTAATTATGGTCACGATTAACACAGGAGAAGGATGGTGAATAATAGAATATAAATATGATAAATAGATTTTCACATTTCCTTTCAACAACCTCTTCCCCTTGGATAAGCTAGATCTGCAAGCTTTGTGGTCTGTTTCAAGTCCTATGCTGGTACTGTGAAGATTTTCATTTTCAATATCTACTTCAAAAACTTTTTTTTAAGTCTTTTAACAATGTATTACTTATGCAATAGAGACCCCTTTGCTTGTATGTGCATACAGGAATGTAAGATGTGATAAGCAGAATACTGAATTTCCTTTGACACTTGCACCATGGTAAATGTTTTTTTTGCTAGGAACTGAACTGAAGACTTGTACATTGTGTTACAATTAAGCCTAAATATATTAAGTACTTCTATATTAATAGCGCTCTTTGAATTCACTAAACATACTAATTCCATTTAGTGATGTAATGCAGTAGCTCTTCTGAAATTACAGTTCAGAAATGAAGCTCGTATTCATTGTGAAATATAAGCCAGCTGAATATTTTGAATATCATTTACTCAAGAATACAGAAAATAGTTAGGGTTTAAAAAAAATAGAATTAGCTGTATAATGTTAATGCCTATAGACTTATATTAACACAATTATATGCAGATGATGCTTAAAATTGTGCTTTCTTAAATGGTATATTTTAAATTTATGAAGCCTAATGATATTTATATTAGAACATACATTCTGGCAGATATGACAGCTTTCCTTAATTTATAAAATTTAATTAGTGTGCTTAATGTAACACCACAGACACAGCGAATATAGCCTTATCTTCAAAGCAACGTACATGATAGACACATTTGTTCAATCTTTTTGATTTTCTGATGCAATACAATTTAGATTCCTTTTTCATATATTTTTACAATACTGCAGTTGGACAGCCACCTACAGATTACAGTTATGTTATTACTTACTTATGCAACCAGCTTTAGAATCATTTGCTTTTTTTACCGTCCCCATCGGAGCCAACGGCCTACGGCAAGAACTCCATTGCCTCTTACTTAATTGCTTCTTAAACCTAACAGTGAATTACATTAAGTGTAATTTCATTGCCGTCAGATCTCAGTGAGTTAGCAGCAGACAGAGGTGCCACGTTTGCCACAGGAGCTCTCTTTCTCTGGTTCATTGGCTACATCCGGGTGGGATGTGTTTTCCTAAAGTAATTCAGGAGAATCTCTCCTTTGAAGAGGAACAGATGTAGATTTACATATCTGGAGGACTCTGGCCTCTGATGAGATTAACTTGAGTTTTAAAACCCGACTGGAAGGTGCATATTTAATAACCCCCTAAAGCAAGCCTCTGTGAAACTGCTAGCCCTAAGAGACTGGGGCAGAGAGGAGAAAGGGAGGAGATGTCATCATATGCTTTGTGGCAGCAACATAATCAACACTGAAATTAGGCCAACAATAGTGACAACTAACAGATATATTCCGAATCAGCAGAGTCTATCAAGAACAGCGCAGACCGACTGCGGAGATACTTGTTTTGGTTCAGTGATATAAGTAATCATTCTTGTGGCATTTATGCAGGGCGAGCTGGTTAAGCAAATCATTTGCAACTGATTTTTAATTTAGAACCGAGCAATATTATTTTTGATCGGAATTAGGGATCTGCAGAAAAACAGCATTAACATTCTTCCCCATTCAAACGGGGAGCGTGAATAAAACAAGATTCATGTTGTCACCCCCAAATTCTTAACCCTTTCACGACTGAAGAGCTTCCTAGAAATTTATTTTCTTTGTAAAAACATCTCGCTGACTTCCTTTATTTTATCGTGATTAGAATGAGATAATCATACATTGAATTCACTGCCCCTCCGGGATAGATGACCATATTTATTGGTTGTTACAGTATATAGGATTGTCGCTGGTTTTGTTCAATTCAGGTGCATGTATTGAAGCAACGTCCTACACACAGTTTCAGCTACCTTGCTGCAAAGGTACACGGTGTACCGGGCCAGTCCAGTAACGTCCCTCGTGGGTGACTGTAACAAGCCAGTTGAATAAAAATTGAGGGCAGCGGTCACTTTGATTGCCACTGGCGGTGCTGTTTGGATGGTTGAGTGACCCTGCAGGTCTCCCTGGAACAGCTGGTACAGCTCCGCAGCAGCCTCCCTGGTCAGCCGCGAAGTAACTCAGCGAGATTGCTGAAATGAGCAACTTGAGGAATATTTTGCCCTTGATCTTAACAGAGTTTAGCATAACTTCTGCCACGACACGGAATACAGTGACACTCATGATAATGAGACATCTGCCTCCGAAGGAAAAACACGTTCCTGTTTCATTCCAGCACGCCTCCTGTAGGCTGTCTACGATATAGTAGTGATAGTGATCCCACGCATTGCACACAGCTGACTCGGAACAAGAGGAGGGTAGCTGGAGGGAAGAAAATTTAAGTCGGGTGGCACAACTATGAAACCATATGTACAAATGGGAAATGTGCAGGCAAACCATACTTATCACGTCTCAAAACATGATAAGGCACTATATCAAACGCAAGGATTATTATTATTGCTGTATTTAGGCCAGATTCAAAGTATCCTTGTTTTCTATGAAGCTGATGCTTTCTGTTTCATGCTTGCTTTGTGTGTTTGATTTTAATTGTATTTTAATGCTAGTTTTAAAAGTAAAGAAACCACTTCTGATGCATTCCTTCTGTGGACAGTTTTTTTAAAAAGCCTCGGCTTTGTTTCAATGTGCCAGTCTCTTGCACATGAATTTGACTTAAGAAGGAATAAAAGGCTATTGAATCAACTTCATCAGGAACAGGATTTCGGAGGTCAAAAATACCCTAAGATGTGGCATCTACTGCAGCAATCTCATTTCTATGACTTGATGAATGGCAATGTCACACTAATACAGCAAGGTGTATTTACTCATCTGAGCTTTAGGTTCATACTGCATTCCTTCAGCAATAATGGAAAACATTGCATTGGCAGTGAGTGGAGCTGTAGCTGTCCTGTGAGGGCATTAGATCATAGGGAAATCAATACAAGCGCTGTGATCGGCTACTACAGCATTGTAAAACCCAGTCTGCTTACCGAGAATGTTACTTTGGAACCTTTAATTCTATTGCTTTTGTTTCAAAGTGATTAATAGCAATAGTGAACCTGAACCAAATGCATTATGTCAGGATTTTTAACAGTCCCAGTGACTATTTGACTGCATTGCTTTTCGCCTTGTATTAAAACTATTACTGCTTCAGTAAAATCCTAATGAATGAATGAATGTTCTTTCATTCATTGTTGCACAATAAACTCAGGATTGAATGCAAAATTCGGAGGTAATTTTCTTTTTTTAGGTGAAGCATTAAATCTTTCAAGTATTAATAGTGGTAAATGGCACTTTGTATGTATGATAAAGAGAGTAGAATTAGGATCTGGTATGTCATCAAACACAGATGTGGGTTTGTTCACCTTCCTAATTCTGCCCCATTGTGAAATAGTGCCATCCTGTACCTCTCATAATGTTCAATTAGGAGTCCTGTAGCTCAGTGGTTAGAGAACTTGACTCGCAAGCGAGAGACCTGGGTTTGATTTCCAGCAGGGTGAACCTTGGGGAAATTTCCTTACTCCACACGCCTGATGATAATCCCTCAAGGAAAAAAAACAATAATAAATTGGTCACTTCACTCCATGACTGTTTGTGGGGATGCTGCTGTACCCAATTGGCTGCCATGTTTCGCCCACAAATATTCAGTCAATTCACTTTACAGTCTATTCTGTGAAGTGCTTTGAGACGTCTAGAAGACGTGAAAAGCGCTATAGCAAATGCAAGGATTATTATTATTAATTATATTTGCAGTACAGAAGTCTAATATGTAGTGATTCACAAAATCTGAATGTGACTCCTACCGGTAACAGGAAGTAAATCAAGCCAAAACGAGGGAACATAGCCCTGAAAATCAATTTGTCTTTAATTTAAAAATTCCATTGGGAATCACTGAATTTTTACACCCCAATATACTGATGTAAGTATAAATAGTTCATTACATTTGCTATTCTGAGGTATAGATGTGACCAAAATAAGCTGTACCTTCCAAGCTCACCCAGCAAGCATTAATGCAGTGTATCTCATTCTCTGGCTCCAGTATATTTAACAAGCACTGAAACGAAGGTTACATTAAGCAGTTCACTGGTTGGTTTGTGGACAAAGCAGAAGAGAAAATAAATGAAGATAAGGCTCAAGCTCCATAAATTTCTCATGCAGGTGTGGGAGTGCATTAATGTCAATTTTGAGGGCTGTTGTTTTTATATTAAGTACTTCTATACCATACAGAATGCTCAGTGCAAATAGCTACCTTCACATCATCTAGTCCCTAAAGCATTAATGTACTGTTACTTCTACATTAATGTTTAATCCTCTCTTCTGACTTATTTTAGGCTTTGAAAGATTTTCAAAAATCATTGGACACAATATAGATTCCACACTATGGTTTGAAAACTACAGAGATAATGTATTATGTACAATTCTATCTTATGCATTTCAAGTATCTGGCCTAATAACTAGCATGTAATATTGAACTGAAGAATAGACATATGGTTACTTCAAAGCAAATGAAAGTAATATGTTCTGCTTCATTCTTCAGACTGCATATCTATTCTCCCTTAAGAATTAAAACTTAAGAGCAGCTTGTCACCCTAACTATCCAATTTATAAACACAAACTCCACAATTATCATAGTTAGAATACAGCACAGTAGCAGGGCAACCTTAATGGTGTATTTGATGGAGCTGTAATTTATAAACCAGAAGCTTTTGCTGGTTCAAATCTTGGTCCTTGCTAAATTTGCTGGGGCTGCAGGGGAGGCTAAGTTCAGCTTGAATTCTTACCTGGATTAATGAGAGGAAAACCTGCTAAGGTTCCAGCTCCTGGTCCCTCTACAATGCCCTGTATCGGTTGTGCAAGAGTGTGGCAGGAAGATGGGGAGAGTTCAGGCTCTGCAATGATGTTTTATACCAGTGGTGGCCAACTTTTTTGGTCGGCCAAACCAATTCTTGACTGAATATTTCTTGATTCGTGGCTGTGCCATGGACATTGCCACTCAGTAACTCGGAAACAAAACTTTGATTCAGAACGGATTTGCCTGGAATGGTGCAATCTTCTTGACAGCCCCACGAGCCATGGGTTGGCCACCACTGTCCTATACAGTCAAGGGCTGTGAACACACTTATTGCCAAGGCTCACACCTTAATGAGGGTTGACATTGGATTGGGTTCCAGAGGACAACTAGCATCTCTGGGACTTCAGACCAGGAGCAGGAGGTATATATCAGGGGAGAAAATTAGAAAAAATAATTGGATACTATATTTACATTAAAAAAACAGTAACATGTTCTGAGACCTCTTTCTAGGTACAAATCCAAATCCATTTTCTTTTTTTGTCTTACAAAATGCTATGCTATGGCTAAAGACTTTTACAGCTCTGATTTTAAACTCAACACAACACCAAACTGGCCCAATTCCCATTATTTTTTGTGGTAAATATCTACGTTCTCATAAATTCTAAACGAGAGTATCAGCCAGCAAGAAATACTCGAATCATGACTACACGACCGTAGTAGACATTGGAACTATCACACTGTTGTGTATATACGATGAATCCATTTGTACACTAATTGCACACTACTTTGTGAGATGACTCATTTTGGAACAATTTGCAACGTTAGTTTTCAAGAATGCTAACTGCTTATTCATGACCACAAGTAGAATTTTTCCTGTAAACTACGAACCTACACTTTGACACGGGGTGATGTGGTTGTGTTTTCACAGGAAATTGAGGGATCACTTTGTTGCACCATCTAGTGAGAAGTCATGTCACTCACCATTCACTATCAATGTTGAGTTCTCTAAATCATGATTAACGTTCACACAGGAATCTTAATAAAAAAATTACAGTAACGGCAATCATAAATTCAAATCCTTGCATATGATATAGCACCTGTAACACCTGAAGTACTCCA